TGTGTGTGTGTGTGTGGGTGTGTGTTCCACTGTATCTTTACATGAAATGTTTGTTGTTACACAGTTAAAAAGTCTCTTGTGGACAATTTTTAAATACACATATAGGAATTTTTCATGTCCACAAACATCCACAATGTGATGATGTTTCTGAAGAAGTTTTTCCTGAAAAAAAATTGAAATTAAAATGTTTATAAACAAGCATTTTTAATAAAAGCAAGTTGTACAAGTGGTAATACTGGATAGCTACATTGAATGCAATCAATATGGTTTTGTAGTAAAATAAAGACATCTAGAAAATGCTCTAAACTGCATCTATGCCTGTGGTAATATTTACTTTCAAGATTCAAGAAGGACCAAGATTATCCAATCCCAATAAATAAATAAATAAAACTTGACTTTACCAGATCTTAAAATTACATAACTACAACCTCAGACAACACGAGACAAAATAATAGGTACACTCATTTATTTATTTTTAAGGTATGAAAGGGGTGTGTTCATCCAATGCACATCATTAACATGCCATAAATGGGGAACACTCATCCCTCTATAAAAGTATAAGCTTTTGCCAGTTTGCTATTGTAGAGCAAGCAAGAATATGTTACCACAACGCCAATGATGAAAGACACAGATTTTGGAAAACGTATTCCTTCTGTCCATTATTCTGAAAATTTTATTAAGGCTGTTTTAAGTGAAAACAAGACAAATTGTTTTAGCCCATTTTCTCAGAGCCCAGACTTTACACTAATCAAAAGAAACTAGAAAAGATTTTCATATTTAGCCATAATACTTGGCATGCAAGGGTGAGTTGGCATTGCATCTTGAGGGGGTGATATAGGGATACCAAATGATGGGATTTAGAATGGTCTGATGGCAATATCCAAAAATATTTCAAGAGTAGTACTCCATGTCAAAGCACACCTTGCCTCTTATGGTTCCACAGTGCTGATTACAAGCTTACCATATGTATATGGGATGTGGTCAGCTCATTTGGTGCATACATAAACCGCCAAAAGCAGCTTGTAAATGGGCTCATCTTTAGGGCTATATAGTAAAACTGCTGTGAAAAAAGCCCAACTGAGCTAACCATGGATTCATGTTGGTACAAAATATTATTGAGGTAAATGTGGGGCCATTTTTCCTTTTGCTTTGCAGTAACTTTTTAGTACACATATATTTTAAATAGTCTCTTGCACTGTCCTTTCATAAATTACCTGAATATAATCCTGAAAATGTTTGTTCCTATCAGGTGTTATAGGTGACTTTAACACAAGCAAAGTGGGTACAACTCAGACCATAGAACAAATGAAACGACTGCAGTGTTCACATAATGAGTACACAGATGCACATGCATGAACTGAGGAAAGGCAGGAAGGCTCAGTGTACAGTTGTCAGCTGTGTACTGTAAACTTACACACTTTACCATAAGGTCCTAAATACAGCAATTTCAAACCAATATGTTACTGCATATCAACTGGTTTGTACACATACATACATACAGTTTTGACTTGTTCTTGGCTGTTAGACACATTTGAGCAACACAATAACAAAGACAGACCAACCCCCTCCTATTATTTATTTTCTAGCTGTGAAACTGTACATTTACCAGTTCACTTCCAAAAGGTGAGAATCCTCCCTAATCTCTGGTCAGAAACCAGTTTTGTCTGATGTGGCTCTGTGACAAAAAACAAAAGGCATAGACATCTTTGGAAACCAAATCCTTCAAGTGAACGTATGAGTGGAGCAGAACTGAGAAGTCTTAGAATATCTGGAGCTGCTTCTGTGGATTATTGCATGCTTGGGACACTTTTGCAGAAAAATCCACATATTCATAGCTCAGCAAGGTCCCATCCCCCCACTATCTCTCTGTCTGAAACCCATTTGCAGATGGAGTAGTTCCAGTGACCCAGCTAATGCTAACACCATGTTCAATACGATAAAACCAAAAACAAGTCCCATAAGAAACATGCATCTCGACAAAGTCAGATGAAGGAGTCACACTCGTTCCCTAAATTATTAAATCAAAGCAACCACTTAGACTTCCAGTGTCTCTTGGTTCGCATGGCTGGAGACTAGAGGGGCACTAGAGTGGGTGTTTGGAACTGCATGTTCATAACAAAATTACACATCAGTGCCACCACAAGAATGTCAACTTCCCCCAACCAAGAAAAAAAAACATACTTCCCCACCCTAGACCAACACATGAGCCACTCCCACTGCGACCATCAGAACTACTAACACGGTTTCCACAGACTCCAACAAGAGCAGTTTGAATTGATATGCAGAAATATTATTCTTATAGTGTTACAAATTTCTTATATTGGGAAATTGAATTTAACTGTTGGGGGCAGCCCATTAAACATCGCTCACCTTAAGGATTTGAGATAGGGGAAATTATCTGATCAAACTTTATACATATATTTAAAATACTCACTATCAAATCCCATAAAAACATGTTAAACTTATTTAACCAAACACTTCGACTTCACATCTATGCACTTGAGATTTAAAGCGACTTGCAGAGAGATTTCCCCATTTTCAGAATGTGGCCAACAATAGATGCAAAAGTCCACAGAAGCAGCTACTGAGGAGAAAAATACAAACATAATGCAGTGTCATATATTTTTCTCTCCTTTTTTTTATGACGTTAGGTCTAACTTACACGCTAAGTAATGGCTCACATAAAAATAAAATAAAATCCTCAAGCTAGTCGTTTTTTTGCTTCATGTACAGAAATCATTCGTCCAGCTGTGTCATTGTAACATCATAACCAAAGGGCAAGAAACAGAATCCCAAATAGCAAATGCATCAAAAATGATCTCAAAGAAGGAACTATTGATTTACAAGGTCATTTCCAAACAATTGGGTCTATTTTTAAATATTTAAGGGTTATCCCCATGTGGATCTCACTTTAAGTTGTCATAATTACAGATATAGAAGTCCCAGCAATTTGTCAGAGCATGTAATGCCCTGAAAAACTATCAAAAAGAAATAAAACACTCCATAGAGCTCAGATTCTGTGGCCCTCAATTAGTATTTTTCATTTAAAAATGCATCACATGCCAATTGAGGAGAGTCCAAAGCTTGGCTCAGACTGACTGATGCAACAGGACATTAATACAAAGCAGAGCAGAAAGTATTGGACTGAGTGGACAAGTGAAGGGCCAAGCTCATCCCCCTCGACATGCACAGGACCTTAAAGGAGCTGTAAATCAAAAGTCAAACGGGCCGAATCAGTGGACTTAATATTTACATCCCTGTTCTGCATTTACTTTTATGTTATACACCATGTTATCATACGGCAATATGTTGTGCGTTGCCGTATTTATCGATCTGGCACAGACCAGAAAACTCTTTTTATTTGCATTTTAATAAAATCTCAGTCTTTAAGGAAACTATTTTTTATCATATACCCTATGTAAAAACCTGTTTCTTGTTTATTGGAGATGCATTTCCACTTGTCAATGCCCATTCTAAAACCAACATTTTACACAATTTACCATGTCATGCACTTCAACACTAGTGAAAACACACTTCTTTAACTCTTCTTATGTCTTGCTGACAGCAGGAGCACATGTGAAACCTGACATGACCCAAAATAGATCCCCAGCAGTCTTCCACAAAGTTCCCACCAGCATGGTTGTGTGCTATGACAGTCTGCATGCACTACAATTTGAGGACGGAGCTTGTATTCAACCATTACCATACGTTAAGTTCCTTTAAAATTATAATGTAGGAGAAAGACTATACGGTATTTATAGGCATGTTTTAAGGGTGTGTGTAGACTTACCCAGTATGAGAGCCAGCAGTAGAGCAGCACAGATACACACACACATGACCAGAGCTATTTTGTAGAGACGATTGGTGCCCCTCTCTGGTTTAACCCCACCACCACCTAAATGTTCCAGCTCCATCGTTCACTATATCGTACACTCACACAAACAAACAAACAAAAAAAGTCTAAAAACTAACGTTAACTGACAAATAGATCAAGTGGACACAAAAAACACAATAACATTTAAAACAAAATCAAACTTAGAGCAAAAATGTACTCGAGAAGAGCCGATTTAAAAGAAGAAAAATGTCTAAGTTTAGCTTGTCTTTCCAGTCCTGAGAGCACAAACCTCTGTCAAATTCTCAATCGTATGTGTCAACTTGATGTGTAGGTTCTCTAACTTTACTCTGGCTTTAACTGTTCCTCCCTCCATTCTCCAACACTCCTCCTCTCCTCCGACACGCCTCCTTCCCTCAGAGCCCACTTTAAATAAAAAGGGACCAGCTCCGTCAGAGAGATAAACAGGGATCATTTATTCAAACCGCAGAGAGACGTACCTGGCTGTGTCTCTGCAGAGCATTCACTCCTGCTCTTCTTCATCACTGGATCACAAATGTGTTTAATCCCATGTACTGAGCAGGAGAGTGCTCTGCAAAATGTTTACCACATCAGAAAGTTACTAGACCAGAACGATGAACGTTTAACGTGCACTGATTACAGCAGAGTAATCTGCCGGGACTGTTGCCGCCTGTGAAAACACATGAGCAGGCTTGCCAGAGTCTTTGAGGGTGCACGAGGAGGTAACAGCAGTGATACTTCAGCCACTGATTGGCCTTCAACCACCCAAATCACTGCGGTAAGATTTCTCTCTGCATGTGCCTATTAGGGTTTGGTGTCTCAGCCAAAAAGTCCTTATTTAGACAGGACTTCCTCTGCTGCCTAAAACACATCCATCAAGCAGAAACGCAGACCACAATGCCATTGTTTTCTATTTTGTCTTGCAGTCACTCGTATCCTGTTTGTTTCATGATCTCAACCAGGGCACAGCTCCAACTTTCTTTACTCCTCTTTATGTTCTAGTTTTTACCACAGAGGCCTTACAGACTGATATTCTATGACTGCGCTGCATTTTTTTTATTATCTAGCTGTATGTTTTGCTGCTAAAACGTCCAAATCACAAAATCAAGCATTATAGTGACATCCAGCAAAGTTAAGTCAGGTCCTCTGGACAGACTTTTGTTTTTTTGATGAAATGTTTCATTTTTCATCCAAAAGACCATTCAGTCCGAGGAGCTGCAACAAACTTCCAAAGGACCTAACTTAACTTTGTTGGATTTTTTCTACCTGGATTATTGAGCGTTAATCAGGATGTTTGGAACCACTTTGGCCAAGACTGCCTCAAATGAGTCGACCAGGGAGAGGGTGGACTCCAGAAACCATCAGCACCATCAAACTGGCTGACCCGCTATGAGAAGGTGCTGTTTATAACATTGTATTTTATGTTTTATTGATGTACGTTTCTTTTACTTATATTTTATTTTTAATGCATTGATACTGTTTTTAAGACTGTTGCTATATGTGTATATAGCCCAGGACATCCTTGTAAAAGAGATTGATGATCTCAATGGATTTCTTCCTGGTAAAATAAAGGTTTAATAAAATAATAATAATTATAAGACTGAGTTTGTCGAGGCTCCTTGGACTGAAGAAGTCTTTTAGATAAAAGCCAAACATTTCAACAGAAAGAAACCATCCAGAGGACCTGACTTAACCTTGTTGGATTTTTCTACCTGGGTTATTGAGCATGAATCAGGACATTATTAGTTACAGTTTGGATGATTGGTTTGTGAACGAGAAGAAGTTTGACAGGAGCTATTTGTTACTGACTGCTGCCAAAAGACCTGTGTCTGTGTGTATTGATGTGTTAAAAGTTTTACACATCCTGAACAAAAACACGGTGAGGTAGTAGCTGAGAGTTGAGGAGTATTAAGTGTTGAGCCTCTAGCCTGAGGAACAGCTTCTACCCTGAGGCTGTTAGACTCATGAATCTCTGACCAGAATAATCACTGTAATGCCACTTTAATTGGAGATTTTACACTTTATCTGTGCTGCTGATTAGCCATGCTGCTGATTTCCTACCTTAAGCTGTTATATTCACAGCAGACTCACGTTCAGGCTGCTGTTCAATACACAGTAATATATTACATTATTATTGTTTAACATACTTGTAACATCCATCCATTATCTTTACTCGCTTCTTCCTTTATGGGTTGTAGGGGGTTACTGGCGCCCACATCCAGCAGTCGCTGTGTGAGAGGCACCCTGGACAGGTCTCCAGTCCATCACGGGGACTAGAGACAAACAACCATTCACTCTCTCACTCACACAGGGACAATTTAGAGTTACCAGTCAGTCTAACATACATGTTTTTGGTCTGTGGGAGGAAACTGGAGTACCCGGAGAAAACCCACGCATGCACGGAGAGAACATGCAAACCACCCAGAAAGGCCCCTGGACCGGGATTTGAACCAGCGACCTTCTCACTGGGAGATGGCAGCTCTACCAACTGTGCAACCGTGGTGCCTAATTTATACTTGATATTTTTGTTATTTTCGGGTGTAACTGGGACCTTGAGTACACAGTTTCGTTCCATCTCATGTACCACGTGATGCAAATGACAAGTCACTTAGAACCTTGAGATTTATCCTCAACACTTACTTTGAGCACAAACAATTCAATTCAATTCAAAAATAATTTATTAATCCCAAAGGGAAATTATTTGTTGTTGTAACTCGTGATCCTCATTTCATTAAGATATGTTATAGATGCTGATGCTGTAGACAGGAAGGATCTCTTGTAAAGGTCCATCCCACAGTGGATCCTAAGAAACTGGCTGCAGATGTTGTCCGGTCCGTCCACCCAGACTCAGCTGGCCTCTCGGTTCCCCTGGGCTGTAGGACCGCCTGAATGCTGGGCAGAACTCCTCCCAGAGCGATGGCCACTCCTCCCAGCAGTCTTCCGAGCTCCTCGTCACTGTGGACAGCCAACTGTAGGTGCTGAGGTACGATCCTGTCCTTCTGCTGTCATGAGCCGTGTTTCCTGCTAGTTTCAGGATCTCAGTGGTCAGGCACTTGAGCACAGCTGGCAGGTAGATGAGAATGCATCCACAGAACATCCTTTCAACGCATTTGAGATTTGGGGCTGTAGTTGAAATATTATTTGAGCTTTTGAGATGTTAATCAGCTGCAAAAATCAAACTGTGCAAGGCATGTTTTAAAACTTTGCCACTAACTACGCAGCATTTATTTTACTAATAATGGAATATTGTACAATTTAGTGTAGCCATCCATCCATCCGTTTTCTTTACCCACTTTGACCTTTATGGGTCAAAGGTAGCCATAAGTTAGTAGAATACTTCATTATCTCAGGTTGTGTTTTAGTCAAGTTGTGTTTGTCATATCAAGGTTAACACAGGGTTAACTGTACAACAACATGTTTTTTCATTATCCCAACAAGATAAACCTACTGATTTTATTTTGGTTGTTTTTTTGTTCTTCACAGACACCAGTATGCTTGAGATGACTGAGAGTTTGATTTTCCCAGTACTTCTTATTTGCTGTAGTTTTTATTATTGCTGTTGAAAACCAAAGTAAATGGTGGAAGGTGTATACAGTGCAACTGGAAAGTATTCACAGCTCTTCACTTTTTCCACAGTTTGTTATTACAACCTCATTGCAAACTGTATTAATGTCTTTCCTCAAGACACAATACTCCATTATGACAATGTGAAAAAAGATTTTTGCAAATATATAAACATACAGTAAAACAAACTGTTATGCAATTTTTCAGTAATTCTTTTATATTTCCATTGATACTACTAAGATAGCTTTTGTTTAAAACTGAAACTCACAATGTTTAAATGAGCAATGTCCCATCTTGTTTTTGTGCCTAATAGAAATCAATGAACGTGAACCAAAACTAAAACAGATGCAACAAATCTATTTTTAACGTGAAAAAGTTCCAAAGTTCAATCAGATACTATTTTATTTTAAATGAACTTCTCAGGTTAACCAAGGATCATTTCGGTGTTGCTTTCTCTCCAGCCCATGTCTTCCTCATCCTCACATATCTGTTTATTCATCCCTCCAGGCTGTCATTTGCACAAGATAAGCAACAGAACCACAAATGTGAGACGACACAGGCACAGTTTGTGTCAATTGAAAATAAATAAATAAAAAATGAGCTTTCGAAAAACCTTATCTCAACACAAACCACGCTTCAAATACCAAGTTCATGCAGTCTGGTCCTGTTCTATTACACACTGAACTAATTACTGTACAGTGATGAAGTCCACAACCACAGAGGAGCTGCTTTTCTTTAGTAAATACACCTTTGTCCCTGCGCTGAAGGACACTTAGTGTTTACATGTCTGTGGGGAACACCCTTCCAAATTACAATGTGTCATACGTGATGCTCATTCACTCAGGAAGCGTAATCACTGCTAGACTCCTTCGTAATGCTAAAGCAGCTCTGCGGTTTGGAGCGTTACTAAAACTGTGCCGTGTCTGGAAAAGACAATATGGAGGTAAATAAAATTAGAAAGGTACACCAAAATATACAAAAAAGAAGTAAAAAGTCATTTATCTGATCTTCTCCCCAGACAAACTATAGCAACCATGACTTTTACTTAGAATAAACTGTATTAAATATTTGTATACGTCAGTGATGAGAATATTATTGTGGTGTATTAATGTATTATATATCTATGCCTTTCTAGACACTATTATTTAGTAGTAAACTTTAAAAAGTACAGTAATGTAAAGTACTTCCCTCCAAAAAAATGTGTTAAAAATGATGAGCAGTGGTAAGAAGAGTGGGCAGCACGGTGGTGCAGTTGTAGAGCTGCTGCCTCTCAGTTAGCAGGTCCCCCCAGTTCAAATCCCAGTCTGGGACCCTTTCTGGGTGGAGTTTGCGTGCTCTCTCCGTGCATGCGTGGGTTTCCTCCCATAGACCAAAAACATGCATGTTGGACTGACTGGTAAGAGTGAATGGTTGTTTGTCTCATTTGTCTCTTGTGTCCCTGTGATGGACTGGAGACCTGTCCAGTGTCCCCACCTCTCACATAGTGATGGTTGGATATGGACACCAGTGACCCCCGTGACCCGAAAAGGGAGGAAGCGGGTAAAGATAATGGATGGATGGTAAGAAGAGCAAAATGAAGATTTTAAGCAAAAGCTGATGTGATTTGTTGCTCATGTTACGGTTTATTTGTATTTATTTTCAAGTTATACTTGTAATTTTTAGCTTTATGTAAAGCTGATCACTTTAAAAACAAACGTGAAACTATGAAAAATACTTGTTGTATTGTAATGTTCATTACTCAGTTTGAAATCACATTTTCCTTTAGAATTCATATTTTCCCGTGTTAAGTGTCTAAAAATGAAGCTTTCTTTTTTTTATGACAAGTAGAAGAATAAAATATAGAAAGTAAAAATTCTAGGGTTTATTTATTGGGACATATTTAAAAATAAAATTATATTAACTTCTCTAGCTCATATTTTGTCAAACAGATCATTTGACAAGGGAGAAGTTGTGACACAGATGTCTTTGTTATCATCAAAGTGTCACTAAAACAAGCCCAAGCCATCAGTCTTCCACCACCGTGCTCACAGTTAGCTTGTTTGCACGGGTCATGTGCTGCATTTGTTTGTCGCTTCCTCGACGTGGTCCAAAGAGCTCCACATTTACACGGTCGTAAGAACGTTGGTGTTTAGCTGCAGCTCTGAAAACAAACTGTGCTGCCACTTTGCCAGCGGTTCTCAAACTGGGGTCCCCAGACCCCCGGGGGTCTGTGAGTTGGTCCTTGGGGTCTACAAAAAAAAGCATGTAGATGTTGAACAATCTGTTAAAATACACCAAAATGCAGGAAATCACATGTACTTCATTCAAACATTTCTGAGAGAACCCCCACTACCTGCGCTCCAGCATCGACCGGTTTACAAATGAAACGTTCCTTGGTGCGACGACTGCTGTTATGATTCTCTGGAATAATTTGAAGAAGTGACATTTATTATGTTCATTATACATAGGTAAAGTTTTAAAGTGTTTTTTGATACTGTAAATGTTCTCAACTGTAATTTTTGGAAGTTGAAATAAAAATGTTTGTTAAAGTGTGTCTTGAATGAAAAATACCCCAAGTATAAAAATTGTATTAACACCATTTAAGAACAGGCCTTAAGCAGTTATGTTACAGAAATATTTCCATTGCATGAAAGAGACAAACTGCAGAAAATGATTGAACAAACCTGAGGGTTATGAGGGGGTTCCTGAAACGTTGTCTTCCCTGTGAGTGAGGCCCTGAACCGAAAGTTTTCAGAATCCCTGCCCTAAGACCACTATAATGCATGTTGTAGTTGTTGCTCCAACACACCTGATTTAGAGGGTAAATAACAGTTTTGGTATTTATTTAAACTTTAGAATAATAAATGTTCACCTAATGAATTAAATCAGGTGTGTTGAAGCAGAGAAACATAAAATGTCCAGGATGGTGCACGGCTCTCCAGGACTAGGATCGGTGAGAAGTTTTCATCTACCAATCATTCCCAATATACATCCTCCCCCAAAATACTCCCTTAATAAACTTGCATTGTTTTAAAATGTCTTTTTGAGCCAACTGATGGACACCAACACACTCCTTTAAGATCATTGTGCATGTGTTTCTATCTGCAGTGTAGGGAAGACATCTAGACTTGCAAACTGTCGTGGTGTGTATTTACAACGGCGCTTATCTTTGCTGATACCCAGTTATTTAATGTATGAAATAAACATCACTCGGCTGATTGTTACTCTTAGTTCCCAAGGAAGCACAGTTTGTACTTACTGGTAGTTTTCCCACACACCAGTTCTGTTTTCTGTTATTGGTGAAAACAGACACTGTGTAATATACATGTTTACTGCATGAAAGTGTGTACTTAAACTGTGATTCAACACAAGATCTTCACACAGTGACAGAAATCACATTTTTCACCCACAAGCTCAATATTAAAAAAGAAAAAAGTTTTATTCCACAATTTTGAAAAGTTACTTGTTACAGACAGCAGACAGTGGCAGGTCAAATAAACACAAAGAAGCTTTTAGAAAAGTCAGGAAAGTGAGAGCACAAACGGTTTTATTCCTGCTGTAACGCCTCAAAGGAGTAAAGACACTTGATTTAATCCAATAAATCTGTACACCAAGGACCCAGGTCCTTTCAGCCAATTACATAATTCATGTTTAATTAAAGAATATTAGGTAGTGCAATTCTCCCAACAGTGAAAATACATTATAGATCAAAATACACGCATGCATTCAGAAATTAAATAAAGGCTTTCAAAACCTCATCTTTGAACAAATTGTGACTTTTTAGTAATATAATTGTATTTTCTCCAACTTCTGAGTCATGACAAGAAAATGTAGCATCAAACAAGAATGTTGCTCACCTCCAAACACAAACACTTCACCCATTTTTAAATATTCAGATGTGTGTGTGTAATCAGCCTTTTGACGAGTCCAGGTGCGTTACTGGTTCTGTGCTTCGGTACTAATGGTGGCAGCAAAATGGAAGAAGGTTTCCAGTGTCCGTCCAGAAACTGTTTAAAGGTTGAGTGAATTTCTGCTTAACAGTCCGCAAAAAGGAGCAGCACTGCTGTGATGCTGTTCCCTGTGTGATCACAGTTTAATGGTCGACGCGTGTCAACAGCACCCTGAGGTGTCACACATCCTGCGCCGAGCTCTTCTCCTTTACTCGTTTTGCCAGGTGAGCAAACCGCAGCTTCTACCGCGCCGTGACCATCCACAGGCCGAGTGCCACGTTGGCTGCTAACAGGGCGCTCCCTGCCAGCAACAGGAAGAAGCCAATTAACTCACGCTTCTGACGATCTGTAACCACGGTAACCAGCGTGGCCTCCAGCAGGGCGTTCAGCATCCACTGACCGTCCAGAGCAAAGCAGGGCACAGAGTTGACAACTGCTAACGCACCAGAGAGGGACACCACGTATCTGAGAGGCAGGGCAGCTCAGGACAAAACATGCACAGGATTAGACAGAAAACACAGCTCTCGCTTAATATTCATGAATTATGAGGATAAATACTTACTAACATGAAAACACCATGAGCACATTGTAAGAGCGGGACAGGAGTGTCTTAGCTGACGAGTTTAATGTGTGGAGCGGCTGACTAACTTCTGATATCTTGGCTGGCACAAAAAGTTGCTTTTTAACTCTCAAGCAACATCGTAAGAGTTTTATTGCCACTTAAGACTGACTAATCAACAAATGGATGAACATTAGAACAACAGCCCACTGACCTTTCCATCGTATTATTTTTATTTTGTAATTGTTTTATACATTGTTCATAATTTATTTATAACCATATTTTTTACATGATAACTAATCCATGTGGCCTGAAAGTGAATTAAACGCAGAGTCAGTGTCATCTTCAGTTAGAACTAGAGAAATTGCATTTCCTGTGAAAATGCAAAAACTTGCTGAAAAACAGCTGAAATTAGCAAAAAAAAAAAAAAAAAGGCTGAAATGTAGCTAAAATGGATGGACAAGCCTAAATCTGCAGAAGAAAGCAGTAAGAACACATATTTTCTGAATTAGGTTTGAATACACAGAAATGAGCACAAAAATTAGGAAATTAGCTCAAAACGATGTTATTAAATTATTATTTTTATAGTTATTAATAATTATTAAATTCTTATTTAATAAATAGAATCATTTAAAATAATTAAAATGTATGAAAGGATACTTGAGGAAGGTGTCCAAGAATATAGGCAGGTCCAAATGGAGAAAAGCAAAGCGGGGTACAAAGTTGGTCAGACTCACTGCAAGACCAAACAGGAAACAGAAGTCGTGACTTGAGGAATTAGTTTTCAACACGCAACACGTCTCCTTGCAGTCATCACAGGAGTCAGCCCAACACCTACAGAATCCACTCAGCAGTAATTATGTGAATATTACAGTTTATGGTTCGTTGGAGGTGTTGCAAACGTCCTCCGAGGGCCAAACTTCTAAAACAAAATGGATTTTTAAACGTAACTGGGCATATGTTGTGCAAGACACAAAAATCTTACTTTTAGAGTGTCAGGATTCAAACTGCTCAAGCTACGTTCACCTTAATATTTCACATGGTTTCAAAGTTAGCAACAAACACACAACAAAAACAAGAAGGAGATGAGTTGTGTACAAACCAGCATGTTGCAGGTGCGGCGGGTACCCAACGAACAGCATGTGTGTGTTAGGAGGGTGTGTGACACGGATGAATCGCGTCTGGTTTTCCAGAGAGGGGGTGACGCAAATACTGGTGGCGGCGTGTTCGGCACAGTCTTCGTCACTGCGACATACTTGTGTGCCCGTCACCATTTTGCGCACCGGCATACAGGCATACTGCAGCCACAGGAGTACATGCAAGACAGAAAACTTCATTTCATCAAATTCATGCTCAATAATCCAGGTTCAAAAATCCCACAAAGTCAGGTCCTCTGGACGGTTTCTTTTTTTTTGTTATTGAAATGTTTCGTCCTTCATCCAAAGGACTTCATCAGTCTAAGGAGTCACAACAAACTGAGTCCCACAAGAAGCATGCTCACATAGTGGACCAACCAGTTTGTTGGTGATAAGATAGTTTCTAGAGCCCACCCTCACCCCCGTCAACTCCTCTGAGGCAGCCATAGCCAAAGTGGTTTAGTCTGCTTGTGGGACTCAGTTTGTTGAGTCGGACTGACAAAGTCCTTTGGATGAAGGACGAAACGTTTTAACAAGAAATAAAAAAAAGAAACTCTCCAGATGACCTGACTGAATTTTGTTGGATAAACCTTAAATGTTTGCTCAAATTATTTTTACTTTTCACTTCCAATCAGTTCTGACTGTGTACTTTAAACTGAATTATGGTACTTACAGTTCTGTAGTAAAACAGTACTCATGAGTGTTTTATTACAATGAGCAACACTGTTTAGCAAATGTACAGGATAATACAAAACATTTCTTTTTTGTGAACGCTCAGCAAAATTGTAGCTTTTTCAAACTCAGACTGTTTTTCTGATGACTAAATTCAAAGAAGAAGCAGTCTAAGGCTCTAAAAACTACAAACTAAATTCAAGTATAAAGTTGAAAAGAAAACAGCCTTTTCAAAATTGAGTCACAACTAGAGAGGTGAGGTCTTTTTTGTGTTTTTGTGCCGTGCTTCTGGCTCCAGTGTGTGAGGCTGTAACAGCTCTGCAGTCACGTCCAGGAATATTTGCAGTGAATTCTGGCAGACGACAAAAACAACGAAGCAAAGGAAATTTGGCAAAAGCTTTGGCTGCATCTCTTATTATTCGTGTCACGCATTACAAGCATCCAGTCAGTCAGTCTGTTCATGGAAATAACAAAGAGCAGACGTTTAAAATATAGATCTGATTGTTCCGACGATGATTAAATCAGATGTAGATTGAGGACAACTTCAAACTAAAAGACGGAGGTACAGTGGTCTCTCGTTTTATCGCTGGGGATCCATACCCTGAAGTAGAGCTGTAATTTCTAGCCTGAACCCGGAGCCCGGCACCGCCCGACCTGGATTTGGACCGGGCTGGTCAATAATAATGTGCGGGCCGGGTCAGTGTCGTGTTTTTGATTGTGTCAGCAGATGTGCGTGGCTGACGAACCAATTATATGGCAACATGGTTTGCCATACAATCACCTCCCACATGTGGCCATTTGACCTGACCGGCCTTGAAAGAGGTAAAAAGTTCAGCTAAGCTTCAGATGGACTACTGCCAGCGATCCATCGCCCAAGTGGACGTTCATTCAGCCGCTGCACTCAGCGGACACACGCGGCCGACGACCCAAACAGGTGAGATCACAAAATATCCGACATGTCAGAGCAGGGTTCGTGTCTGAATAATGCAGAATGCAGGGGAAGCATTAAATGCGCTTTGACCGCCATGAAAGGACAAACACTCCCTCATCTCCGATCTTCTGACCCCTTTATTCAGCCGCGTACATCCACTGACCAGCAGTCAAAGCTTAATTAAAAATGTCAGTTTTTTTCAGGTTCGGACCTGTAATTACTATTAATTTATTGGATCGGGTAGAATTTGGAAAAGATGGCTACGGGCTGGGGCCTGGTCAGCAACTCTACCCTGACACCGTGCGATAAATGAAAATCTGCGAAGTAGGAAAAGTAGTACAAGTAGCAAGTAGTAGTTTATTTTAGTATATATGTATATGCTAAAATAAGCATCATTAAAAAA